TACCTGTGTCACTGTAGGTCTTGTTTGCTTCTTGTTTGCATATTTCAGGGCTAAACGTAAGCTGTGTCACTGAAGGTCTTGTTTGCTTCTTGTTTGCATATTTCAGGGCTAAACATAAGCTGTGTCACTGTAGGTCTTGTTTGCTTCTTGTTTGCATATTTTGGGGCTAAACATAAGCTGTGTCACTGTAGGTCTTTTTTGCGTCTTGTTTGCATATTTCAGGCTAAACATAAGCTGTCACGGTAGGTCTTGTTTGCTTCTTGTTTGCATATTTCAGGGCTAAACATAAGCTGTGTCACTGTCAGTGTTGTTTGCTTCTTGTTTGCATATTTCAGGGCTAAACATAAGCTGTGTCACTGTAGGTGTTGTTTGCTTCTTGTTTGCATATTTTGGGGCTAAACGTAAGCTGTGTCACCTACTGTAGGTCTTGTTTGCTTCTTGTTTGCATATTTTAGGGCTAAACATAAACTGTGTTACTGTAGGTCTTGCTTGTTTCTTGTGAGAGACCATTAAAACCTCTGTGCAAGTTTCAAGTGCTTTATTCTGTATGGTGGGCCTCAATGACACCGCCAATCACAAGGATGAAACTTGCCACAAAGGATAAGCATCATATCAACTCCCTCTGAAAGTAAAAAGATTGTATCTGTTACACCAATTAGGTTGTTAATTGTGTCTTTCAGCTATTGTCCAAGCCTAGAGCCCATTATGAATTAGAATTAAGTCAGTGGGATTTATAAAAACTTATAACATGTAATTAATATTCTGTAGGTACGTTTTGGAAGAGGCTAGTTTTTATCAGAATTTGATGCAATAATTTTATTTCAAACTGTCAATATGGAATGCAGTAAACAATCCACACGAACAAACCAGTACATTAATTTTCAAGAGTGTAAATCAATGATTGTTTCCTTGTCAGAGTTTGGAATTGTTATTCAACCTCGTAGAGGACAGTAAGCAGAATGTCGCCTCCCTGGTACAGCTTCGTACCTCCTCCCCTTGCCATGAAAGTCAAGATGACAGCCAAGATGAGACAGATCAGGAGGGGAAACACAGTACAACTGAAGCTCTTGTACAGCTCTTTCTTATAAGAGAGGAAGCTGCTAGGAATACAGATGACATGACATCAGGTCTATCAACTGAAGGTACATGATTTAAATGCTCTCTAAGAAAAGGAGTCAGTCAAGGCTGTAACAGAGCAAGTTTATTCGTTGGGTGTAAGAAGTACTTCAGCAAGTACAGCTGTTTATGTATGAGCTGGCCAGAGATGAAAGAATTTGATGTGTAGGTGTGACATTTGGCAGTTGTACAGCATGTACACCAGTTAAAAAAAAATATTAAATAAAATATGAATTGAACTTATGCAGTGGCACACCCAACCATCTTCTACCCTGTTTCCAAGTTGAGCTGGTAGTTAGTTTGTAATTTCTCATGAAGGGAGTAAACCAACAAATGCTGACAAAAACTCGTGGAATAGGGACAAAAGACCCAACCAACTCCAGTCATGTTTGACAATAGGTGAATAAATCAGAGGCGACTAACCATGTTAGAAAGCTGGCATCCTCAGCATCTGCATACATAGATCTTTTTTTAACCCTTTGACCCTTAACCCTTAAGAGTGATGAGCCTCTAATTTCTCCTTACAATATCACCCATGTATCATACATTAAGGGCATGAGAATAAAGAAAATGATCACCAATTTTAAGCTCCTGATTGTCCAACAAATTCTCCTTATCGTTGCCACAGAAAATGTAGAGAGATCAGTATGGAGAATGTGAATGCTTATGTGAGATTTTGAAGAGTTAAGGTTTAGGTGGTAGTATAATTAGTTTGTTTATTATCCAACCGCATTCCGTAGAGTTTAAATAATGCTTAAGACGAGTACAATTATCACGCAGTATTTGTGCTTTAGAGAACTGGTTAGACAGGTTTTCTCGCATCACGCAAGCGACAAATTGGATTGAAGTTACATAAAAAAATGGTGGACAATTTAAATCATATTTCTGATGATGAAGAGTCAGAAAGGCTGGTGAATACTGATTCAGGTTTATTAGGTAAATTGAATGAAGAAAAGCAGTAGACGACAGTGAAATTTCATCATTTTAATTATTGAATAAAATAAAAACAGCAACACGACAACGAGCCAATTCGGTTCCACTTCACATAATTTTGTCACACACTCCCTGTAAATAAATATCCACATAATTCGCCTGCACTTAAATAACAATTTGGCATGTTGGATAATAAATAACTTATTAGATGTTTTGGTGTGTCGTATCGTGGAGTATTTTTGCTCATTATTTGTATTTTGATTTGTCCCTATGGGCTCGTCATTATATGGCACAACTCGTAAAAATACCCAGCAATATTACACAACAAAACATCTAATAAGATATAATTATATATATATATTGATACAAAATATTAGGAGTAGTGTGAACTAGAAATGATTTTATTTCTTGTCCAGAGGAAAGTAGTCAGGAGTCATTTAAACCAACAAAGGATGGCATGGGGTGGACTTTTGGTGAAGATATTGATGTTTCTGTTGATGAAGGAGATAAGAAATCTAATGACCCTCAAGAAGAAGAAGAAGAAATTGTACCTTTGGAGGTACAGATCGGGAAAGGTGAGGTCATTTTTACGGTGGGGCTAAACCCTGCACCTTGTAACAGAGAGTAAAGTGTACATGTACAAACCATTTGGTCACTGTGTCTTATACAATTAATTAATTTTTTTTTTTTTCATTTGTATCGTTTGTACAGCATTACAAAAAGCTGGAAAACACATGGAAGATAGTGTTGTGGCTGCTTATGTTGCCCTGCTACTTGGATGTATTTTACAGGAAAATGAAGTAAGTCTACATTGTAACATTGAAATTGGTGTCTGCTCCACAGACAGTGATGTTTGTATTCAGAACCAGTCAACATTCCAAGCTGCAGCAGGGCTTGACACTAACTTTTCAACTTACTAGCCAAGGGGCAAGAGACAGCTTTAATGTTACAACAATTTCAGTTTGTTTACAAGCCAAGCTGGCCAGTGGAAATAAAAAACCTTCAGCCAAAACTGAATTACTTCTAGTGTATGGCTGGTTGGTTACCATTAGTGTCAAGCCCTGCTGTAGTGTATGGAGAACATAATAATTTCAATATATAAACAATGTTGAAATGGTAAATTGGCCACCATTAAGATTATAAAAGCTGATGTTTCGAGCTCCGAGGAAGGGCTAACGCTTGAAACGTCAGCTTTTATAATCTTAACGGTGGCCAATTTACCATTTCAACTTTGTTTATATATTGAAATTATTTCATTACCCCCACCGACGCAGCCCCAAACAGTTTCTTTAGAAACTATCAGCCTTTATGGAGAACATAGTTAAATGTGAAGGTGTAGTCTGATCGTCCGGGTGAGTGTAGTCCTGAGAAGGACTGTTGTCGGTGGTAGTGACTGACGTTTCGACAACCTGTGCGGAAGTCATCATCAGAGTCAAGTGAATGATTGTTGTCAGTAGAATGTTCTTATTCCAGTTCGTGTGAAATGATCGGTTGGTTTTGCCGTGATGTTATTGGCTGTAAGACTCAAGTGACGTAAGTCGGTCGTGATTGGTCTGTTTCGATCTGTCGGTAAAGTTAGGTCGTTCTTTTTCGGTCGTTTGTGATGTTTATGTCGTGAATGAGTCGTTTGTATGG